GTTACCTCTCCCTTTTAGCGGTCAAAACTTTTACAGTGGTCGTATTTTTTAAAGCGGGCGGCAACATTGAAAAAATCATTTTATTTAAAAAAAATATTGTCTCTTGAGAAAATCGCCTACAGAAAGCCATTCTTGAGTAAAATGGCATTATTTGCATGTGTGTACGTTTCGATTTAAAAGTTTGATTTCAGTTATTAATTAAATTAGTTTTATTTATGACAACTTTGAAGGCCTGTAGGTAACTCAAAAACCAAAAGGTTTTTATTTAACTTTTTTTTTTCGTAGATCGTATTTATTTATCGTCGTGAATATGCAGTCAAACGTTGTCGGTGAAATTTGCGGACACCCTGTATGTATGATTACGTATTTACCGGCATAATCATTTTTTAAATATTTCACCTAATTTTGATTTTTTAGTTATATTGAACGACTGTTCAACTTACTCGTATCTCTTATAATTTTCGAGATCAATTTAAAAAATCGTGTATTCTCTGATTTCTGCTTATGCTTTATTTTTTTTAGGAGTATTTTATTTAAATCTATCAATAATAATCTATTAGGTATATCAACAAAAAAAGCACTTCAAAATGCAAGAAATGCCGTGGAACAACTACAAAAAATATTTTATTATTTGCTGTCTTCAACATTATGTGTTAAATAAATACTTTTTAAACGAACATGGAAACTAGTAAATACAATAATTATGTACTATGTCCTCAATCTCGATTTAAAAAGTTAAAATTTCAACATTTCGGAACTTCCGATTGGAAATTTTGGATTGAATTTCGTTTACCCCGGCTGTTTTTTTTCCTTTTAAACATTGTAGACTCTCTTGCGGGGGATATCTTAATGCATCTCCCAGTGCTCCAAAGATCGAGAGGACATGAAAAATGATAGGGAAACTATCCATTAATCACTGTCATCTCTGAGCAATCCCGAACTTTATTTGACCCATAGAAATATTTCTCCTTTTATAACATATCGCGTACATTTTAAGACATTTTGTTTTTGTGCGGAACACTTCCGACATAGAAGAACGTTCCTCGCTCGACTTCACAAATTACCCTTTTACTTCCTCGAGTGCCGGCCCGATACAAGTTTCGTATCTGATTGGAAGTGGCGCGTTTTTATAACTCCTTAAACATTTGTTGAGTTACAAGCTTAATCGACGGTGTTATGAGACTTCGTTAAATCATTGGAACTAAAAAAATCGGTCTAAAATTACATTCTTAACTTCCGTTAGTCTCGGTTTCCGATTCCTATAATTTTATTACATCTAAGCTGCAAAGGAAATAGTAATTTAAGCTAATAGGTAAAGCTACTACGCATGGCACGCCTATGACTCTGAAAGCTGGGCTGTGGCCTAAGATTTATATGTCAGTTTAAAGAAATTCAGCCGGTTATTGAAAATTCCGTTTGAAAATAAAGAATTGCGGACGTTTCTGTGGCTCCAGTCTGTAGGTAAAACAAATTTAAAAAACCCCATTTAATTAGTATGCCACAAAAAGAAACAACTCAGTAAAAAAGATTTAATAATTATGCAGATTTTTGTATTTTAAGTGACTGGAAGTCAAAGAGGAGAAGAAATGGGATGGTTTGCAGAATATCGTGTATGAAACAGAGCTTTACAAATAAAAAATATATTATCTTTTGGAAGGTAAGTATCAAGTATACTAAGTTTGCCACATCGCAATACAAGCAATAAAAGAAACATAATTTTAATTGTTTTTCAACATCTTTTAATGATTCAACTTTCAAAATTCCAAAGCAGGTTTAAGTTAAAATCCGTTTTTATACAAAATGGCTGATTTCAGCGACAAATACTAAGAGTACTTTTATATGTAAAATTGAACGGTCATTTAAATCCAGATATTGCGCCCTCTAACATTAAATAAAAAAGTAAGTAAATATTTGATTTTCTTATCATCAATGCATCCTCCCAGTTCCCCGAATTTCGTCAAATTACCATGCTATTGAACAAAAATTTAATCAAAATACCTACCAAACAATTTTTTTTTGGACGCTCTGTATCTTAAGAACCAAGCCGTTGCGGTCTCATGTTCATATGAACTTTTTATCTTAAAATTAGTCAAAGATTCACCGTTTACTCACCTGCACTATAAATCATCCGCTACACAAATTCAACTACTGTCAATAAATCCTTGATACTAATCGGTAAAACGTTTGTGCGTTCTTTAATTATGGGCGCCGTTCTTACAATTAGAACAAAAGGTTATTTTTTACGAAGACAAAAGATTTTAAACATTTACTTAATAGGGTTTATCGAATAATATCGTCCAGTGAAACAAATCCCCGAGTGTGACAAGCTTAACAAGTCTAACTTGCATTGCCTGCAGACGAGGTCTCGGAAGCGGCAAAACCGACATTTATCTCATATTTCCGACGTTTTCCTGGCGCACCATCGACATCGCACATCTGCCGTGTGAATATGCCCCCGGCCCCGAAACAAATAGACTCGCTCACCCAATTTGCCGCGGCGCGTCGTCCTTCGAAAAGGTGTACTCGAGGTACAAAACGAAAACACGACGGTGTACCAATCACCCAAGCCGGGCACGTCCCGGTCCCGCACAACTTGCTATTCCCGTCACGGACGGCTCCTCGAGAATCGCACTTCCATTTTCTCGACTTTGTTTTGTTTCTGGGACTCTTATTGTTTATACGCGGGCGGGATGTACGCTAATGTTATTATTTTCGAGGCGATCTGCGGAATCAATTCGCGTAGCCGTTCGCTGTTCCCGGAAAATGGAAATCGGCTCAGCCCGGCGAGCGATCGTTCAAGATGTCACTTTATATGATTACGATTTACGGTTTCATAACGTCTACGGTTGCCGGTGACGCCTGCTGGCTGAAGCCCAGACGTTGCCAAGGAAGATGGGTAGCTGTGGGGGGAAAGCTTTCTAATTTGATGTTGGAAGAAACAATGCACCAAAAAGGGAGCCAATAGAACCGGTTTACAGTTTCTTACGAAAGTTAGAAGAAACAATCTAGAGTTTAACAAATGTTTTAAATTTGTTCCATACTTTGTTGCTGATGAAATGTCAGTTCGAATTCTAATATGTAAGCATTCCAAGATACGAGCGGATTTAAAATTTTCGCTCAATTTTCCAGGTTCACTCACAAGAGATCTCGAGCTAGTGCTAGGCAAGGCAATACCTACAAAGACAAGTCAATAAATTGACTTAATTATATTATACGAGAATCTGCTTCAAGTAATGTAAGAATGAAACAAAAATATAGGATATACAATATGTGTCAACAGCCTTATCTGCCACAACAAATGAAACTCGGCTTTAATTTCTCTCAGATTCCAGTCAAGGCGGCACTGAGTTGCTGAAGCGAATTTGCTTTAAAATTCAAATTTAACAAGTACCGATTCCGAGCGGTTAAATTTATTCCATCACATCATCTGCTCTCGGTTTCGACAATGTAGTCCTTATTTCATCTTGGGATATCGAGCCTCCGAATTGGTGAATACTTAAAATGTAGAGTGTGCGAAGGGAAGGATAATTTAATAGAGATAAAGGACGAATTATGCCAGACATAAACAGCTTGATTGATTGGAAAATGATTAGAAAAACTTTGCAGTTCATCATTCCCTCCTTATATCGCCGTGATATTAAATTTTTTCAGAGGCAGTTTAAAACTGATTGACAAATCGTTGGTCTTTTTTTTCTCCAGATATCGAGTGGATATATAATTAATCAACTTTCTGTTGCCTCACGCTGAACCCTAGTTAAAATGGGCTGTATAGAAAATATTCCTTTAATTAGTGTCTTATAGCATTTTCAGGAAATGTATGCATAAATAGTTCATATTGTATATATATTCATTTTTTTGTGTCATTTGTAGATACATCTTCTGTTTAAAAGAGACACCCCAAAATATTTTTTAGAGAGAAGGTCGTGTTTACTAATTTTTTACATTATTCAACATGTCACAGGCCAATTAATATAAATACAATTAATATGAACAAAAATTATACAATAAAAACTGGAAAATAAGTTGAATATGATGATGTATGAAAAGAAATAAAAAAAATGAAAGGAGGAAGAAAATACATATATGTCAGTAGAAGTAGATCAAATGTTCTACCTAAACATTGCAAATACTGTGTAGTGAAGAATGCCCTTTAAAACTTTGTCGTGGACTGCGTATAAATCCTTTATACGCATTGCCGAAGTTTAATTTTTTGTCAAATATAACACCGAAGTCGCAAAAATATTCCGGTCTGAAGAGAGTTTTATTAACCCATTAGCGGCCAAAGGTGCGTAAATGCACCCTTTTATAATATATTTTTTTTTGAGATCATCCGTAAAATTCTATGCTTTAATTAAAAATAATAATGTTTTAATATCATTTTTTTTAAAAGAAAATAGATGGTATATAAAACTTTAAAACACATTTTCAAACAAATATTGTTCTAAGTTAGTAAACATGCGCGGACAATTTTTTTTTTTTGAGCCAGATATAAATCATAAATCTATTTTGATAGTCATGTAGTTTTTTTACTCATGTTTTCAAAACGATGGTCATAATCATATATACAGGGTGTCCTACAAAAGAACCGACACAGGTGCATGTAGAGGTGTCCAAAATATTGTAATTTAACCAAACTTACCTATATACAAAGTTGCACACCTGAGGGGTTATTAGCCCCCATTTGTATTTAAATGTAAATTGTTTTTAACATACGTATCATTGATTAAATTCATGTTATGTTGAAGACGATGATAGACATTGATAGCAAATAATTTATTTCTACAGTGTAAGTAAATTGCTGAAATGTTGATATGATCAAACGAAACCATATTGTGCAGGACCGTACAAGTCGCAAAAAGTAATTTAATTTGTTGTCAAGGATAAGAGTAAGTCAGATAAATAATTTTTTGCTCTGTACCTACCTACTTACTGTTCATCAAATATAAAAAATTTCAAACGCGATGACTGCCTATTAAACTTATTATAAAAAAGTTACTCACCTTAAAACCGTTCAAGTTATCCACCACACATGCCAAGAGGGCGTCACGACCCACCGTCACTGTGACGTTGGGGATGGGCTCTGCGAATCTCGGAAAAGTTGGATCTGCAACAAGCGTGGCTGTCAGAATTATCAGAACAGTCAATAGGACAGTATAATAAAACGATTAGTATAAATTGCGGCTTTTTTTTACGAGTAAAAAGCTCGGATTGTTTTTCCGCCTTTTGTCCCGGACTATCTGACAATTCACGGTTTACACAGTAATAGAATGATAAGGGTCGGTGGGCCATCCCCTGCCCTGCATCCGGGAAAATGGCCAAGTCGCTCAAGTGAAACATCTCGCTGCTTCAACCGGATCGAGTTGTTTTGCTTTCCGGACGGCCGTTCTCCCCTACTTTCCAATTATATGCATGTCCTCTTTGTGCTCGAACTGGTACACAAGTTTGAGGTCAGCGCAAATAAAAAAAGAGCGGCATTCCGTATGATTTGTGTAATATCTGGAGAGGGCGAGCTTGTGGTGTCGAAAGTTATATTGTCCTTTTTGAACTTTAATATATTTGGATTATTTTTCTATTAATATGTATTTACGCTAATCAATTCAATATACATACCTATATATCACAAAGCAACATTTTTCTTTTATATAAAAAAATACGTTTTAAAGCACTTAAGTAGATACCTTAAAACACTTGAATATTTATATGTACAATACAACAGGGCAATAGGGTATAACTTTGACTGAGGGTCATATTTATCCAGAGGCGACTAATAGATGTCGCTGCACCATAATAACGGTAAATTTAAATGCTAATGGTTTAAGTAGATAATTAAAATTAAGGTGAACCATTAACAGCTGTTTCATGATGACCCATTACTTATGAAACACTTTATCACTTGGTTAAATGAAAAAGTTAAAGCAATCATTTTTAAATGTGTCACAAATATCTATATAAATTCAATCTGTTATGAATTCGGAAATATTTATGTACGATGTAGGTACTTCTGATTCCTTTTGAATGCGGGAATTGAAGTACGCGTAGTACACACAAAAAAGTAAATATTCAAAGAGAGAATGCAGATTTTCTCAAGTTTTTAAATAAACAATAGTATCAAACAGAGAAAATATCATTAAATTAAGAAAATGATGTTTCTTCAATTTAGTTCTTGATTTTCTTGGAATATTACTTCACTGGGAATAATATATTCTCAGTTTGAGTATTTAACAGAGCTTAATTGAAATAGATCTGGAATTAAAATGAATACGAGGCTCACTATTTTAGATCCACTTGTTTCTTGAAGGAAAGAAACTATCATTAAATTGAAAAAACGATGTTTCTTCAATTTAGTTCTTGATTTTCTTGGAATATTAGTTCATTGGGAATAATATATTCTCA